TGCTTCGCTTTTCACTGAGGAGGTGGTAGAAGGTGTCGTCTGGCTTGTGCTGGCTGAGTAAGGGTGGCTGGCTGAGCGGCAGCCCCCGCCCTGGGCCTGGCTCTTCCCGGCCTCTGTACTTTGCCCTCGCTGCCTGACAGGTTCTGCTGAATGGAAGTTGCTGGTATCCCTTGTCCCTTTCTCCGGCTGGGTATGTTTTCCCCATTTTGCCCCTAGGACTATCCTCTCCTTTTTTCTCCTTTCTACTTCAAACAAAATATTGCCGAGTTGCTCAGTGGAGTTGGGCACTAGTACCAGATAGTCAGATTCTCAGGAAGGCCATCCAGATGTCGTAGAGGGATTGGCTAGGAAGGAGAAAAGGAAAATGGGCAAATACCAAAAGGTCTTTTGCCTCAGTAGCCAGAGGCCAAGGAAACAGGCTGTGAAAGAAGGGGTATCACAGTGGGAGCCCAGCTGGAACCTGGGGTGAGTTCCAAGGATACCTTTCTGTAGTCTGCATTTGGCCAGGAAGTTCCTGCCTGGCACCCCTCCAGTCTGGCCCCTTCCCAGCCTTCAGAAGCCACAGTATACTTGAGGGCCACCCCTGTGGTGCTGAGCCCCAGAGCACAGCTTTTCAAGAGAATATTTGGTGGCAGCCTCCAATATTAGGGCAGGGGGCCTTGCCCGAGCCAGTACTGGGCCTCTGGTGTGGAGGCAGGCTGGCTGGCTTCAGGTAAGCCTGGCAGCATGCCAAGGCTAGTTCTGAGTTCCCAATCTAAAAGTCTCTGCAGGTCCAGTGGATGGAAGACTCTGCCACCTTCCATCACTAATCTCAGAGCTCTTTTGACTCTCCTAGAAACTCTGAAGGCCACTTGAGAGCCACAGGGCTTCTTTCATTGGGAGGGCTAGGGGCCTGCCTCCAGTAAGGTTGAACATCGTGCTGTGGTCCAGGGAGGCTGGGTGTAGGGAGGAGAGCAGGGCTTAGCCAGATCTCGCTTTGTGGCCCAGGACAGCTAGGTCTCACCCATCACCTTTCGGACCTGGAAGAATGGGCCTGATCTGAATCCATACCCTGCTGTCTTACCTCAGAGCAGCAGCAGGAGAGGGCAGGAATTACCTCCCTAGGCTAGTGGCTTGAGAAGCATTGTCTGCGGAAAGTTTTGCATTTTTTCTTTCTTTCATTTGTTCATTTGGTTTTGTTGTTGTTGTTGGTTTGGTTTGGTTTGGTTTGGTTTGGTTTGAGACAGGGTTTCTCTGCGTTGTTTTGTTTGAGACAGTCCTGCTGTCTTCTCTGTAGACCAGGCTGGCCTTGAACTCACAGAGATCCACCTGCCTCTGCCTTCCAAATGCTGGGATTAAAGGCATGTGTTGCTGTCACCTGGCTGAAAGTTTTACTTTCTAACCTCTTTCTGAGCTCTCTCCAATGGGTTCTCCTCAGCCTGTCCCCATTTTTCTGCTATATCTTGTGGTCGTGGGGTGGTGGCACACGCCTTTAATCCCAGCACTTGAGAGGCAGAGGCAGGCGGATCTCTGTGAGTTCAACCCCAGCCAGCCTGGTCTGCAGAGCTAGTTCCAGGATAGGCTCCGAAGCCACAAAGAAACCCTGTCTCGAAGAAGAAGGAAAAAAAAAATCGTGACATAAAGAAATAGTGGGGTCAGAGAAATACTGATTTGAGTCCTAAGGTCAAAAGAGGGGGTTTGGTGACAAGATCAGGGAACCTAGGAGCAGCCACCAGAGCTGGCTTACTTCTGTGGGTCCTATACAAGGAACCCTTTTCTCACTGCACTGGGGAACCAGCCATTCACAGCTACCCCACCTGGTGCCAGCACCTCTTCTTTCCTCCTAAACTACAAAGCCTGTGATAGTCAGCAAACGGCTCAGATTGGGTTTCCTAGATCTGGAGATTAGCACAGGGCTTAGCTTAGACCCTTGTCACTCCTATATCATAGTTGGCTTAGCAGTCTCAGCTTGGGTGCAAAACATTAATTACAGGAGGACTTGACAATAGCATTTGGAGACATAGTAGTTGCTCAAAAACTGAAAAACCATGGTCCCATTATATAACCTAGGCTGGCCTTGAACCTGTCGTGTAGCCTAGGCTGTCTGACAGTTGTTCTTTATTTAACTTTGAATGAAACAGTTGGCATATGTTCTTTCATCTGCCCATGAAAAGTAGGAAATGTTTTATTGCCATTTTACAGATAAGGAAACTAAAGTTAGTAGGTGAGGAGCTAGGACTTGAACCTTATTCTGTCCCTCAGTATGAATGCTAGCACGGGTCATGTTGGGGTGCTTTTCCTTTCCCCTCTTCAGGAAGATGTTGCTAACAAGGTTAACCTGAGCTGAGTGACGGTTAGGCTCTGAACTCCAGCAGTTTGTGTCTAGTATCTACACTGCTAATCCTAACCCATAAGGAAGCAGGCTTATGTGTTGCTGCTTGAAGTCTAGCACACAGCTGAGCCAGGGGAAATGCTGCCTGTCTCACACAGACCAGACCCAGACCAGAAACAACAAGGGGCCAGCAGGGTGGAACAGCAGGCTGGCTGGAGCTTCCTAGCTTGGGCTTCAGAGCTGCAAAGGGCCCAGCTCCCCACATCTGTGTAGAATGAGAATTGCAGGTCTTTGGACTTCTACCCTACTAAGCTCCACTGCCTTTAGTTTATGCCCTTGGAAAAAGGGTGTCACAAGAACTTATATTAAAGTTACCAAGGGGGTTAGAGAGATGGCTCAGTGGTTAAGAACACATACTGCTATTACAGTGGACCTGGTTTCAATTCCTAGCACCCACATAGTGGTTTACAACTGCCTGTATCTCTAGTTCCAAAGGATCCAGTGCCCTCTTCTGACATCAGTAGGTTTATCCCCACACATGGTACAAATACATACACATAATTGTCTTTTAAGTGTCAGGGAAAGGGTCTGGGGGTAGATGGGTAGAACAGTTGCCTAGCATGTGTGAGATCTCAGGCTCAGTCCCTAGCACCACAAAAAAGAAAATTGCTAAGGAATATTCCCACTTACTAGTGAAGCAGAGGAAGATTTCCCAGCTGTTGGTACCCTGAGAGTTGGGGGAACCCTGAGGGCAGTTTGTCAGGGAGGGTGGGACTAAGGAGAAGAGACTAGAAGCTGGGCCTTTGAGACCTGTGGATGGGCTCAGTATATCATATCATCCTTAGCTGGGGATAGAACTGCTTTCTTCCCCAGTGTAAGCCACAGAGTTCCTTTGAGAAGGCATGAAGCAGAAAAATCTACTTGTCCAGCCTCTGCTGTGGAGAACTACTGAATAGCAATAGTGGGACATGGGAAATGGCGAGGATTTGTAACAGGGATGACATTCCCTCAGGGGTCAAGGGGCCTTCACAGTTGTCCATGTGCAAGTACTTCTGGGGTTTGAGTTAGCAGCTGAGAAAAAACAAACACAGCTGCTGCACAAAGGCCCTGAACTGACATGTTAAAGAAGAGGGTACTCTGTAAGACTGTACTTCTTGCCAAGGGACCCCGAGACAGTTCCCTGGGTTGAAGTAAGTCATGCTTTTCCTCTGCCTATTGAAGTCTTCCCTTAGAAGCAGGAGGGGCTCTGAGAGAAGGAAATTGGACCCACCATCTCTAGTCATCCTGCTGCCCCTCCTTGAAGACTCTAAGGCAGCTCTGCTTGGAGCCAGCTCATGCTGTGGCTCCAGCTTCCCAGTGTGCTAAGATGTCCTGTGAGAGGTGAATCGGGGCCCAAGTAGGGGTGAAGCCAAACTCCTTTGGCAGTTACATTGGAGTATAATTCACACACCATACCATCTACCCATTCAAAGTACAGATGAGTGGCTTTTATTAAATTCTGTTTTGTGGTGTTTGGTTTCAGAACATTTTCATTGCCCCCAAAAGAAACCACACACACTTTACTTGTCACCCCCAAATGTCCCACCATCCCCTAAATAGCCACGGATCTGCATCTGCCTTTCTAGAGTTAATGTGTTCTAGACAGTCATAAAGATGGAGTCAGATAAGATGGCTCTCCGTGGCCAGCTCCTCTGTCTCTTCAGGATTCTTTGGTAGAGCAGCATGTATCAGTGCTTCTTTTCTTATTAGCTTCAACTCATACCCATTGCATTGTTGGGTCACATTTGACAGAGCGGTTTCCCCTCTAGCATTGAGGATTATGCTTCTGTGACCATTAATGCATAGGGATTTCTGTGGACATGTGTCCGCATTCCTCTTGGGCATATACCTAGGAATTACTGGGACTCCAAGTCTTCGGAAAATGTATAGACTTTCATACCTGTTTTCATTAGAACTATGCACTTTGTATTCAGCCCATACACCTATGCAGAGTCTGTGTAACTGCTGCTGCTTCCTGTCTTGTTTGAACCATTGAGTACAGGAGAGCAGAGCAGGGCAGGCTGCTTCACTACACAGACCCAGTCATTCAGTTCATCCGTGGAACAGTGATTTACTGAGCACTGAGTACAGTTCAGTCTGTCAAGGTTGCGATATGATGTGTCACTTAATAAATGATATTATGGCCAGTCTTCGTCTTCATGGGCCTCCAATCTCACTGGGCACAACAATAAACAGATGTTCCTGAGAAGGAATCATAGAGGTTGATGAAGAACTGGGCGATGAGGAAGACTTTGAAGTGGTCAGACCATGTGCTCCTGCAACTGAGAGGCAGCATTCTCACAGTGTGAACAGGGCCAAGGTCTCCCAACTGCCATGGGGGCAGTCTCCACTAGATTAGTAATGGGAGTTAATGGGGGTTGGTGATGCTGATAGGCACAGCTCTGGTCCTGAGCTCTGGTGTGTACCGGATCTTAGCCCTGAACCTTACGCTGTGTGCCTTTGCAATGAAGACTAGTTGTAATGTCTTCCTCTGCCCTCTTCCTCCTGTTTTATGATTCCTTGCATGCCTAGCAGTCCTGTGGAGTCTGCCCCTGCACAGCAGCCTCTTTGGAGTTTGTTCGGAGCTGAGGGTAGCAGTAGGCAGAGCTGGAGGGTAGCCTGTAAAGGCATGTCTGTTTCCACCCTGCAGCCCACCTTGGGACACCTTGATTCCAAGCCCAGCAGTAAGTCCAACATGCTGCGGGGCCGCAACTCAGCCACCTCTGCTGACGAGCAGCCCCATATTGGCAACTACCGGCTCCTTAAGACCATTGGCAAGGGTAACTTTGCCAAGGTGAAGTTGGCCCGGCACATCCTGACGGGGAAAGAGGTGAGCACTGGGGCTGGGGCCATGGCAGCAGCTCCCATCCTGTTGACACTCCAACAGGCAGTACTGAGACTGTTCCCACAGCCAGCCTCTTGTTTATCTGCACAAGTGAGATCTGATAGGTACGCTATCAGCCAAGCATGAGAAGGAGTAGGAATCCAGTGGAGAAAGTAGCACCAAGTCCTGGTTTAGCCTGGTCAAGGAAGTGATCTTAGGCTTTTGTCTCATGTTCAGGTAGCTGTGAAGATCATTGACAAGACTCAGCTGAACTCTTCCAGCCTTCAGAAAGTAAGTGACCAGTACCTCCCATCCCTTTGTAAACCTCCCTTTGATGAGTAATCTGCTGACTCCACAAGACCACTACTTTAAAACTTTCTCCCTTTGAGCCAGGCAGTAGCAGCACATGCCCTTAGTCCCAGCGCTCAGGAAGCAGAGGCAGGTGGATCTCTGAGTTCAAGGACAGCCAGGGCCTCATGGAAAAGCCCCATCTCAAAACAAACAAACAAACAAAAAAAAAAACCTTCTGCCCCTCCCATACTGGCTCTGGTTGGGTTTCCTGTGGCAACTCCACCCAGTAGGCCTCCTGTCCACAGGCACAGGCTCTTCTGAAGTCTGCCCCTTTCCAGCCACTTGACCCTACCCATCTGTCCTACTACTTGATCACATTATCTCCTGGCCTGTGTCCAGCTGTCTGCACAAATACATGTCTATAGCATTGCTAGAAGTGCATACAGCTACACCAAGACACCAGTGGAGTGCCCCTAGGAGTGCAGGGATCCAGCTCCAATTTAGAGAAGAAATGTGGAAGACTCAAGTTCTAAGTCTGTGACAAGGTGCACAGATTAAAGGCACCCTACTTAACCTGGTCTCTAGGGTCTCCTGCTGGACACTCATTTTGGGAGTATGCAGCTTGAGCTAGATGAAGTTGAACTCTTCTTCCCTTGTTAACTGGGGTCTTCTTAGGTTTTATAAGAACCCCCAAGTAGGAACATAAACCATGTACCAAAGAAACTATAGAAGTGTGGTGTGTTTGAGAAAAGAATGGGCAAAAAAAAAAAAAAAAAAAAAAAAAAGAATGGGCAGCTTTGGGGGCAGAAAGCAGAAGGGGAGCTGCCTGCAAGTGATTGATAGAGCTGGAAGCACACTGTCTCTCACTCTTTTTTCTGGGCTAAGGTATTTAGGAGAAGGGGACTTCAGACTGGCAAAATAAATCAGCCCTGACCCAGGTTAGTTGAACTTCCCTGGCCTTCCCACTGTAGCTGACTCCTGCTCACTTTTCCTAAGACCTGGTTCTTTGTCTGTTATGGCCAAGGGAGTTTGTTGTTATTGTTGTTGTTGTTTTTTAATGAACACAGTACAGTGGCTGAATGAGAAAGACATGACAGTATAAATAGTCACAATGATGGGAGACAGAGAATGAGGAGCCAGGGATTGCTACAGAGGGATTTGCTCCCAGAATTAGAGTAGATAGAGTGACTTCCCTGGCATGCTGACAGCTAGAATCAAGGTATTCACAAATTTTGTTAGCCCTAAAAGGTTTTCATTAGCCGAGCGGTGGTGGCGCACGCCTTTAGTCCCAGCAGAGGCCGGCAGATCTCAGTTCGAGACCATTGTGGTCTACAGAGGGAGTTCCAGGATAGGCTCCAAAACAATACAGAGAAACCCTGTCTTGGAAAAATAAATAAATAAAGCTTTTTTATATGCTTTCTTACAAGGCCATTTGTTCTGTTTACATTTATTTGTAGCAGTGTCCCCCAAAGTTTGAGGTTTGAAGACATTGGCCCTTCAGGGTTCTAGGCAGCCCTAGAAAGCTTCCAGCTCTCCCAGAAGAATGCCCCTACCAAACAGATATGCTTTAGAGTAGGCTGGTGATACTTGCTCTGGCTACCATCACAGATCTGCCCTCAGTGGTCACCCTTGGAATGGTGGCCAGGACCCTTTGCTTTTTTACCAGCATAGCTGTTGGGTGAAGGAAGAGCAAGAAAAGCCTGGGAGCTGATGAAGGGGGAAGTCTTCCATTCCAGTCCATGAAAGCTCTGGGACACCATTAAAGGGGGAATGCCATTTTTACTATATTCTCTAAACTACATTCTGGATTAGGGCTCCACCACCCAAAAGACAACAACAACAACAACAAAAACTCAGTCCTTGTATAAGTAGTGAGGCCTGGGAAGTTGCAAAACCTTTCTTCCAGTTTTCTGGGCCCCGTAGGGGAAAAAGTTCCTTTCTGTCATCTTTCTGTATGGGAATGTATGGTTTGCAGCCCCTGATTTTGTTTCACAAAGAGAGCGTGAGTGTGTGGAGGTGGATTTGATTAAAATTGGCATCAGCTATATATAGGAGTGGTTTCTTCTCTCGTTACCTCAGAGGCTCAGGAGAGAAAAGCCTCTCCTCCAGTGCAGGCCCTCTGACATCTAGATGACAAAAGATGACACTGTACCCCTTTGGAGCTCCTCTCTGGTCAGCAGGGCCACCTCACAGGTTTGGACTGTGAGCTGGCCAAGGAGTTCAGTACTGAATACTCAAGGACTCAGGTTCCTTCTCCTGCAGTGGCACTTAACTGCTGTTTGGAGGCTGGATTTAGCTGGGTGTGGAAGAGGGCAAGGCCTAAGCAGTAAGTTAGTGAGCTAGCTCTGCTCCAGCTTCTGTCTCCTTGTGGGTTTGTGTTTGGTTCCTTTGGAGGGGGGGAACTAAAAAAGAAAGAAACTGCACTGTGGTTCTGGGGAGACCTGAAATAAGTTCATCAGCAGGCATGAGATGAACCCTGTGTTTTCTCTTCCAGCTATTCCGAGAAGTAAGAATAATGAAGGTTTTGAGTCATCCCAACATAGGTGAGAAGTGTTGTCATCTCTTTGTTCCTCCCCCTCAGCAAGGCTCCACATGCCTGCATCTACACACGCATCCTTCCCTATCACATTGCCTTGTGGATGACTCTGTCCTGGAGGGTTGTCACACTGAGCTTCTGAAGGCTCGCCTCACAGTTCAGCTGCCTCCTGGGCATGTCTGGACACAGCGGGTCCCAGCACAACCTTTCTCTTGCAGTTAAGTTATTTGAAGTGATCGAGACTGAGAAGACGCTCTACCTTGTCATGGAGTATGCCAGTGGCGGTAGGTCTGATGCTGCCTCTTGCATTACTTTCCGCCCCATCTCTCTCCCCTCCCTGTCCTTCCACACCCTCCACTCCCACCCCACTCACTGTACTCCACCATCTCATCTCTCGCAGGAGAGGTATTTGATTACCTGGTGGCCCATGGCAGGATGAAAGAAAAAGAAGCTCGAGCCAAATTCCGCCAGGTGGGTGTCTCCACCCTTAGCTGTAGGCCCAACTCTCCTCTTTGGGATTTGGCACAGAAGAGGAGCTGCCTGAGTAAGTGGCCTCAGAAGGGGCTACTTTGAGCTCTGCTAGTCTACTTGGTTACTTAAATAGGTCATCAGTGACAGTTCTGCCAATCCCTGTGGCTCCCTCTCAGACACCCAAGCTAACCCTTGTTCCTTCCTTTCAGATAGTGTCTGCTGTGCAGTACTGTCACCAGAAGTTTATTGTTCATAGAGACCTAAAGGTGAGGTGTGCTGATATCTCCTGCGCCTTCCTGTGGGTCTGGGCACTCCCCTTCAGTTAGACTACGTGTTCCAGAACTCTGGCCATGGATTTTTTTTTTTTTTTTTTTTTAAGATGACCTGGAAGTTTTTAGGAATGGCCTTATACCCAGACTTAGGCTTCCACCATAGCACTAGCAAGCACAGAGCCTTTGCCCTTGCCAGCTGTCAGATATGGCAGAGATACTCCAGGCTTTTCTGGTCCTTAAGGCATCTTGGTGGCTGACCTAGTGCAGTACTGGGAAAAGTGTGTATATGACTCTTATAGCACCACTGCTCTCCAGACATAAACACATTATCTCTGTTACTAAGGTATTCATATCTGCACTGCCTGTGAGTCTCCTCATTGCTAAAAGAACTTGCAGGCATGACCAAGAAACATAGTCCTACTCTGCAGTCTAGTGCAGCTCCCAGGGTCCCTAGGCCTACAGATGCCAGCTTCATGTCTTCCTCCTGTCCAGCCTGTCTGGGAGATGGAGAAAGTTGTAAAACTAGAGATGACTTTCTAGTGGCTCTCCCGTTGCCCCGATCCTGCCTGCCCTAGTGCCTTAGGGTTCTCTACATGGGGCTCTGATGCTTACCGTCTTACCTCTCAGGCAGAAAACCTCCTCCTGGATGCTGATATGAACATCAAGATTGCAGACTTTGGCTTTAGCAACGAATTCACCTTTGGGAACAAGCTGGATACTTTCTGTGGCAGCCCTCCTTATGCTGCCCCAGAACTCTTCCAGGGCAAAAAATACGATGGTCCTGAGGTGGATGTGTGGAGCCTGGGAGTCATCCTCTATACACTGGTCAGCGGATCCCTGCCTTTTGATGGACAGAACCTCAAGGTGGAGTGAAGTGCAGTCTTAGATAATCATTTTTTATTTTTCGTCTCTTCTTGGCCTCTGGTCTTCTCTCTGCCCACCTCAAAAACTTTCTACTTGTCCACATTTTTCTCAAGTCAGAGCTTCAGAGAAAGGCCCACTGAGAAAAAAGCAGTTAAATGGTCTTCCCTGCTGAATACAGTGGCACATGCCTGTAATTTCTGATTGGAGAAGCCAGGGGCAAGAAGACTCAGAATCTCATGCCAGCCTGAGCTAGAGAGATCTCCTAAACAAACAAAAGGGGCTAGCAAGGTGGGTTGGTGGATAAAGTGAACCCCAGGACCCACACAGTAGAGCAAGAGAACCTGACCTCCTGCAAGTTGCCCTTTGACCTCTACTCACATTGTAGCGCATACACCCCATCCACAAAATAAGTGTGATTTTTCTTTATAAAAAAAGAGGGCCTTGACCCATGAATTAGAGTAGAGTGTCCATCCTGTCTTTAAAGAGACATTGTATGTCCACCTCCCTGAAGCACACTGAGAGGTACACGGGGTGTATGGTTTGGTCGCCTCACTTGTGAGTTGCCATGACCTGGGCTTTCTGCACCCTGTTTTCCAATGTCTGCTTACCTGGATCTTGAATGTGTGTAAGACTTGTTCCCTTGGCCTGAGGGTGACTTCATTTTTCTAACTACAGGAGCTACGGGAGCGGGTACTGAGGGGAAAATACCGTATTCCGTTCTACATGTCCACGGACTGTGAAAACCTGCTTAAGAAATTTCTCATACTTAATCCTAGTAAGAGAGGCACTTTAGAGGTGAGCAGCCTAGAACCCAGCTGGCCAGAAATCCTGGGGTTCCCATGGAGACCCTCCATGCTGAGTTTCCTCCACCTCTGTACTTTGCCCTTCTGTCTCTTCCTAGCAAATTATGAAAGACCGGTGGATGAATGTGGGGCATGAGGACGATGAGCTAAAGCCTTATGTGGAACCACTCCCTGACTACAAGGATCCCCGGCGGACAGGTGAGGCTGTGCTGGCTGGGAGCTGGAGCCTGCCCACAGATGAAGACCTCCAGCCTTAACTGTCCTCCCCTCCCCCAACCACCAGAGTTGATGGTGTCAATGGGTTACACACGAGAAGAGATCCAGGACTCACTGGTGGGACAGAGGTACAACGAAGTGATGGCCACCTATCTGCTTCTAGGCTACAAGAGCTCTGAGGTGTGTGCTTTTCATTCTCATGCCCTGACCTGCCACCTGTGCTATGGGTGGCACCCAGTCTTTAGCCCCTAGTGAGGACAGAAACTGGTACCATAAATACATATCACCCTCTGCCATGGTGGATAAGGCCCTCAGTGAAAGAGCAGGAGGTGGGACTAGGCCAGGCCTGGCCTCTGATGGGTGCATTGAGGTGGCTCGTTGTGTTGATTGAAAAGGGCTAAGGTGGTCTGGCTGGAAGTTCTGTATAGGCCCAGTATCTTTTGTTTATCTTTCTGGAAGTGTCCATCTCTAGGTTTCTGTTGTATCTATGTCTGTTTTACAGGAAGCTTCCCCAATGTATTGCCTCTTTCTGGGTCTTCTGTCTGGCTAGATATGTTTCTTTGCGCCACATGTCTGTCTTGGCTATGGATTTGGAAGCTTTATGATTGTTATTTTGCTAGTTTGGGTTTTAAGTGCCCACCTGTACTCACAGCCTCCTGCCCTGGTTGGGGGGGGGTCTCTCTTGGTTATCACTTGAACCTGTTTTAGAGATGGCCATGGCACTTGGCATGAGCCCCAGTTTCTCTGTGGGATGGGTCTCTTAGTCTGAATGTGTGTGTGTTCTTGTGCATGTGTGTGTCTCTAGGTATGCAGGCATGAGTAGCCCTCTCTGAGGAAAAGGTGACTTTCTGAGGTGTGTCTTTGGTGTGTTTGTTCCTGTCTGTATCAGAGTATGTGTGATCTGGGGCATCTGTCTATATTAGTCATATGGGATGAAGTCTCTTATGTGTTAGGGCAGGTGGAACATGTAGGATGACGTCTCTGTGTGTTAGGGTAGGGTGGAACATGCAAATATGTCCATCTGGAGGAATCTCCTCAGGATTTTCACTCTCTTTTGAAGCCATGTTTTCTGTTCTTGTAGCTGGAAGGTGACACCATCACTTTGAAGCCCCGGCCTTCAGCTGATCTGACCAACAGTAGTGCCCCATCTCCATCCCACAAGGTTCAGCGCAGTGTCTCTGCCAACCCTAAGCAGCGACGCTCCAGCGACCAGGGTACGTGCTCTTGGGAATTGCATGTCAGAGACTGCTTTCTCCTGAACCCTCATAGGTTGAGTTACATTTCAGTCCTGGTTCGGCTCCTTCATAATAGCTTGGCCATGGGCCAGTTACTAACTTGCCCCCACTTCTGGGAAATGGGACCGTGGTGGTAAGGAAGTGGCAAGCATGTCATGGGTCTTCAGGCAGACTCCTACTCTTACACATTTCACTTTTTGCCCCATAGCCGTCCCTGCCATTCCCACCTCAAATTCCTACTCTAAGAAGACCCAGAGTAACAATGCAGAAAATAAGCGGCCTGAGGATGAGACGGGGCGGAAAGCCAGCAGCACCGCCAAAGTGCCTGCCAGCCCTCTGCCTGGCGTAGAGAGGAAGAAGACCACTCCTACCCCCTCCACAGTAAGCCATGAGCTACCACCGCTCAGCCCTGGTCTCCCTGTCTTCTGATCTTCCTTGGTGAGGCCTGGCCCTTGGCTGTACCTGAGCTTACTATAGAAAGTAGGCTACAGAGCAGCTTGGGACAGGGGCCTTCAGTGGCCCTGGGGAACATCCCTGGCTCCTGTGAGACAGTTCTTGCCCTCCCTTCCTCACAGAACAGCGTCCTCTCCACCAGCACAAACCGAAGCAGGAACTCCCCACTTTTGGACAGGGCTAGCCTTGGCCAGTCCTCTATCCAGAATGGTAAAGACAGGTGAGTACCTGGACTGCGTGCCTTGCTCTTGGGGCCATTTCTCACAGTGGGCAGTGACACCTGTCAGTGGCATCATCTTCTGCCTCTCCAGAGTGATGTCCCTGGAGTCCCGTCCTGGCCCTGTCCAGTCTAGCCATCCACCCTCCCGCACCATTGCCATCCTTCCTCCTGTCCTCTGCTCCTTGACATTTGCCAAGCATAGGGTACCAGTGAGCATCAGTCATCCTGCTTCTTGACCACACCAAGTCCAGAATTGTCCATCTGTCTAGGTACCATACGGCTTTGTGTTTGGGGCCCCGTCAGAAGACAGAGCCCAGAGTACCAATGGGGGGACTCCCCAGTGAGGGTTTTATTGTGGCCTCAGAAGCAGAGTTCCCCACCTTGCCTGCCACCTTGCTTAGTGTGTTACATTACTGGTTCCATCTCTTTTGAGCTTAATGAAAGTTTTCTCCTCAGTAACATCCTGTCCTTTGTATAAAGGGAAAATCCTTGTTCTCACATTTCCTGGGAGACCAGTGTGGCTTCCTGTCAGCTTTCCCTCATTTTTGGTTTTCTCTTCCTAGGCTGTGGCCTCCCTGGCTGCTTACTGACCTTGCCCTCCACTTCCAATGGCTTGTCCTTAGCTCTCACTGGCCTGGAGCCGCTCCCGGGGCCTGACCTGCATCTGCTGAGGCTACAGCTCTGACCCTGGCCCTGCCCTTGCTTCCTAACCCAGACTCTTACCTCACCCTTAATCCGGGCCTTTCCGCTGCTTTTGTCTCCTAGCCTAACCATGCCAGGGTCCCGGGCCTCCACGGCTTCTGCTTCTGCCGCAGTCTCTGCGGCCCGGCCCCGCCAGCACCAGAAATCCATGTCTGCCTCCGTACACCCCAACAAGGCCTCTGGGTTGCCCCCCACGGAGAGTAACTGTGAGGTGCCTCGGCCCAGGCAAGTGTGCTGGGGTAGCTAATGCACTTGTCCCCTGGCCTGTCCCACCCCTGCCCTACAGTATCTTCCTACCTAGAGGACCTGCTTCATTTTTATCATCTTAGCTACAAGAAATAGCTCTGTTGCCTACAACCAGAAAATAAGAGGACACAAATGATAATAATGCCCTTTTCCCTCTAGCCCCCTCAGAACAGGAGTGCAGGAAGCTGTCCTGAAGCTCCAGAGGGAAGATGTTTTGTTCTCCTCTGAACCTTCATAGCTTTCCTTAGGAACACTCAGCTCTTGAGGGTTCTCCTTGTCCCCTTGCAGGTCCAGGGCCAACTCTTTCCAGCCTGTGCTGCTTACGTACATGGGTCCTCCTTGTCTCCCCTCCCCAGACCATCTCACTACTGTCCTCAGTGGTCAGTCCCTCCCTTCTGTGTCCTCCGTGCGTGATGGCTGCTTTGCCCTAGCATTCCCAACCCCATCCCAGGGCCTGCATGTGCTCAGTACTGGTAGCTCCCTGTACCTGACGTGTGCCTTTGCCCCTACCTCTTTCCCATAGCACAGCCCCCCAGCGTGTCCCTGTCGCCTCCCCCTCCGCCCACAACATCAGCAGCAGTGGTGGAGCCCCAGACCGAACTAATTTCCCCCGGGGTGTGTCCAGTCGAAGCACCTTCCATGCTGGGCAGCTCCGGCAGGTGCGGGACCAGCAGAACCTGCCCTACGGTGTGACCCCAGCCTCTCCCTCTGGCCACAGCCAGGGCAGGCGGGGGGCCTCTGGAAGCATCTTCAGCAAGTTCACCTCCAAGTTTGTCCGCAGGTGAGAGGGGCTGGAGCCAGGCCTTCCCACTTAAATGGGGATGGGGGTGGGGTGGGGACAACAGAGCTGGGGCTGGTGCCTCAGCAGGACTGAGAAATAGGGTTGTTCTCAGCATCTCAGGCACCTAGACTCATCCTCTTAGGCCTTTCCCCAGCGCATCTCAGGCACCCCTCATTTGATGGCCCCAAGCAGATGGGCGATGCCGCCTCCTCTCTAGGGGAGTGTGAACTCAGATGCTAAAATAAAAGCCCCCCTCTTCTCTCCTGGGTTCCCATGGAAACTTATATTTGGTGACGCAGCTGCAAAGTCATGAGGCATGAGCCAGGCTGGGTTGAAAGATTTTCCTAGTCTATTCTTGCCCCCTTTGACCTCCTTCCCCTGTTTACCCACCCTTAGGTAGATTGTGTCTGGCTCTAGCTATGTTCTTCTGCCCCAGGGCTTCCCAGTGCAAAGCCCATAAATGAAATAGCTGCTGAGGGCTGCAGGAGCCTCTCTTGCAGTGCCAGGGTTCCAGTGCCTTCCTGGCCTAGACCCAGTTGGGAAATGTCTTCATGAGGCTTCTCTAGCCTGAGCCCCCATCACAGAGATGAGTGGCCTGAGATGGCTCAGCCATCGGATCTCCTGGGGTACTCTGTCCCTGTTCAACCCTGGAGGCTAAACTGTTCAGAACCAGGTGGGGCTTCTTGAGAGCCAGCCCGCCCATCCCTGCTGCTTGTCCTTCACCCATCCAAGCCGCCAGACACAGGGGAGGCTGCAGGGGCAAACAGACCAAGTCCAGGCCTCTAGTCTCGCTGAGCGGCTCTTCTGAACCTGAAAAGCCCACTCCCACCTGCTCACCCACATGCCGTCTTGTTGGTTTTTTGTTTTTTGTTTGTTTGTTTGATTGGGGTTTTTTTTATTTCTTTTTTTATTTTGTCTTTTTTGTTTGTTTTTTTTTAGAAATCTGTCTTTCAGGTTTGCCAGAAGGTAGGCGTTGAGCCCTCTGTGTGTGTGTGTCTGTCTGTCTGTCTGTCTTTCTGGGTCTTTGTCCTGCCTCCGTCACTAACTCCCCTGTTGGCTGATGCTTCCTGTCTTTCTGCTGACCCTGTATATGTGGACTTCCTGTCTGCTATCTTAAAGGGATGAAGACTTCTCTGGAGGGGTCTCAGCCCTAAGCTGACCTTCCTGCCCCTTCACACTGGCAGGACTTGGAATACATGTTCTCCCGAGAGGATATTTTGGGTCCCTCAGAGGAAATGGCTTTGAAAGTGAGGGCCTCCCTTGGTCAGCAGGCACATGCCCTCAGAAGAGAAGAGACCTCAGGATTCTCCCTTTAAGATTGTCTCCTGATACCCAACCAGGTTTGGGTCACATTGGGCTCCCTTTCTCGCCCTTTCCCCTGTTGTGTGCATGTGCTACAAGTAACCTCCACGGGTTTGAGGCGCATCTGGAATGATGTCTCATTTGGGGGTGTCCTGGGCTTGCTGAACCTCAGGGCTGTGACTTATTTCCCCTGTACTGTGGCATGACAGGACTTTGGAGGTACTATAGGGACATTAGGGTCCCTTGGCTAGCCTGACTCCTCCAGGCCCCAAAAGCCTTTGCCTCATAGATGTAGTACAGCGCCCCCTTCTGGTGGGTTCTGCAGAACTGACCCAGCCCACCCTGGCACAGCATCTGGGCGCTTACGCTGCTCTCCTCTGGGCTGTTTCCTCCAGATGTCGCCTGAGCCTGCCAAAGAGCCAAGAGCTGGATATTCTCAGGCAGGGGTCATTCTGCCGCCAGGCCCTGGTGGAACAGCAGGAGGTCCACACCCTGCTCCTGCATCTCCCTTCCTGGGACAGAGCCTGGCTTGTTCAGCCTGGCCATGTCCTCTGCAGGCCTAGGTACGCCAGGTACTGAGCTGCAGACTGAGGGCCAGATTGGGAGCTCTGGATTTGCTTGGCAGGTGCCTTGGCTCCCCAGATGAGGGATAGATGGGCCAGATGGGATCTTGAGACATCCCTACCCACCCACCCCACCCCAGCTCACTGCATGGCTGGCAGGGCCTGCCCCATAGGGGCCTGGAGAGAGCAGCTGGAGCCCCATCCTTTGCACACGCGGGCCCTGCTCACAGTGTGCTCCGTGGCATCTGTGTCTTGTGTCTTCTTGCTCCTTTTACATGTGCTGCTGCTGCTCTCTCCTCCTTCTTGTCCCTCCTCTCCCCTGCAGCCCCCAGAATCCCAGCTCCGGGCACTCATCTTCCTGGCAGGAGCTGGAGAAGCCGCTCAGCGGGGCCAGACCTCTTTCTCACCTCCCCAGGGCCCTGCCCAGCCCTTGCCTTGTGTGAGCAGCCAGCCTTGGCAGCCAGCAATGGGGGAGGTAGCAGCACAGTGGCCTTGCCCACTGGGCCACAGACATCTACCCCAGGTGTCTACCTAACAACTTCAGGTTTTGACACAGTGAAGGCTCCAAGAGGCTTTCACAGTCTCTCTTCCAAGACAGAGACAGAATGGCCTTTACCCCATCTTCATTCTGACACCTTGGTTATTGGCACAAAAATTGTTCCCAGCCCCCATTCCAGTAGTGATCTTGAGCCTGGCTGTGGGCTGGAAGGGAAGCTGCTGGCACTGGGCTGTGTGCTGGGTACATGTGCCTGTACAGCCACACCCTCCTCCCCCAGAGCTGAGGCTCCTTCCACCAGCACAGATCTCTGGGAATGTGGGGAGGGACAGCCCCCTGCTGGGGCTCCCTGTCAGAAAGGGGCAGTCAAGCTGCCAGTGTGAGGCACTGCCAAGCCTTGTTGGCCTGTAGATGACTGGCAAGTAGCTTTTGGGTTTGGGTCCTGCCCACCCACTGGTGGCATGTCCCTAGACCCAACCTCACCTGGGTCTGCAGGGTGGAAGGAGCGAGAGATCCCAGACTAAACTCTCCCTCGCTCTGTTTTTTGAGGAACCTGAATGAACCTGAAAGCAAAGACCGAGTGGAGACGCTCAGGTGAGAGGGCTGGAGCCAGCACTACTGGCCCTGCCCAGGCCACCGGGCTTGCCACAGCTTCCTGCTCCTCTCTTCCTCCTGCCACTGGCTCTTTCTCTGGCAATTCTGCCCTGCTTCCCTCTTGGGAGCTCCCTTTCCTCAGAGATTTCCCTTTCCCACGCCTACCTGCAGCAGTTCTGGGCCCTGCCTCAGGTCCTGGTGCATTATGGAGCCAGAGCCCTGGCAGGGCAGGGCGCTCAGGTTCCCACCCTCCTGGCCTTGCTGCTCAGCCTCATCATCCTCACGGAGGACAGTCTGCTTGGTGCTGCTCAGTGCACTTGTTTCCTGCCTGATCCCCAAGAAAAGAACCAGTTAACAGCATGGAACTGTCATCCTACCCCAACTGGCCTCTTCTCACCCTCCATCCTGAGAGACAAGAGCCAGAGGCCTCCCGTGTCCCATGTGCCATCCGTCCGTCTGTCCGGGACAAGGGACTAGCTGCTCCCTCTTCCAGCTGTTGCTGCACTGCTTCCTGCTTTCCTCTCTGGCCTCAGGGTCTGTCTGCCAGGGTGGTTCTTTGATGGGTAGGAAGTCTCAGCCCCCGTCTTACCCCCCTCTACCTCTCCACAGACCTCACGTGGTCGGCAGTGGAGGCAATGACAAGGAAAAGGAAGAGTTTCGGGAGGCCAAGCCTCGTTCCCTGCGCTTCACCTGGAGCATGAAGACCACGAGCTCTATGGAGCCCAACGAGATGATGCGGGAGATCCGCAAGGTGCTGGACGCCAACAGCTGCCAAAGCGAGCTGCACGAGCGATACATGCTGCTGTGCATGCATGGCACCCCAGGCCACGAGAACTTTGTGCAGTGGGAGATGGAGGTGTGCAAACTGCCTCGGTTGTCTCTCAATGGTGTTCGATTTAAGCGGATATCGGGCACTTCCATGGCCTTCAAAAACATTGCCTCCAAAATAGCCAACGAGCTGAAGCTTTAACAGGCTGTCAGGAGGGGGGCAGCAGAGACCCACCAGTGGACTTGGCTTCTTGCGCCAACCCTGCATCCCCCCGGGAGAAACTGCAGGATGAATTGGTGTGTCTCCCTTGCTGGCACTTGTCCCCTTCCAGGCCCTTCTCAGTTTTTTTCTTCCATGTTTGTGGGGGATAGGAAATGGTTCTTCTTCCCTCACATTCACCCCTGCCCAGAAGTCCCTCCTTCCCCTCTTCCCCTACAGGAGGCAAGGGAAGGGGTGGGGGGGCAGGGCTCCCCCTCGGTACTGCGGTTGCACAGAGTATTTCGCCTAAACCAAGAAAATTTTTATTACCAAAAAGAAAAAAAAGAAAAAAAAAAATTTGCCAGCGGCCACCTTCCCTCCCTGCCCCATTGGGACAGTCAAGACTGGATCTGGGGGTTCCTGGGAGGGTGGCTCAGGGCTGGAACACTCTCAGGCAAGAGTGGTGGAGTTCCCTGGCAGGCCCTCCGCCAGGCCCACTTTGGGCTTCTCCCCTCTCCCGACTTCTTTCCCCTCCAAGCGACCCACCAGAGGTGGCCTTCCCCTGCCCCCAGGCCTTTGGGCTACAGGCCTTTACTGGGGCCCGGTGGGGTACTGCACAGCCTTGGCGAGGGTGAGCGGTGGGACCCTGGCTCCCTCCATACCATATCCTCTGCTCTCCTTCCCCAGAGCTGGGCATTTCCTTCAATGAGCTGCTGTGGGGATATTTGTTCCCCTCCTCAGAAGTCTGTGCCATCTTCTCCCACCTTTCTAGCGGAAGGCAGGGCTGACCCCAGTACTGGGAGAGGGGAGGGTGTTGGACCATGGGCTCTCAGCCTCCAGGGGGCCGCTTGGGAACAGGGACACAGGCTTCTCCGTTCTGGGCGTCTTTGTCTGAAAGCACAGCCCCTCACCACCACCACCCCCCACTGCTCTCCCTTCCTTGGCATTAATCTGGGCACCGTTCTCATCTCTCAGCCTTGCCTTTTCTTCCTGGCGCTGCCGCCCCTCCTCTCAGGAGACTGTCCAGGGCCTCCATGGCTGCCTGGCGGAAGGCTGGATTGGGCGGCAGGTCCAGGAGCCTCTGTCCTCCATAGGGTGGGGCAAAGTGACTCCCGCTTGCTAACCTCCAAGGCCAGTGTATGAATGGGTGGCTCTAGGCGCTTGGCTGGTGGCGGCCACTGCATCCCTTAATTTATTTCTCTGCTGTTTCAGTTCTTGAGAAATTGGGGGAGTCTTACAGAGGCTGCCACTGCCATCACCTGAGTTGTACATTTTTTTTTGTGATAAGTTTGATTTTTTATTTTATTTTATGTTTTTGATTTACAATTGAATCCAACCTTAGCCCCAGTGTCTTTGTGTCACCCCCACCCCCACCCATTCATCACCCTGGCTCCCAGACCAGGCCAGACTCAGCTACATGTTGAGTCCTTGGGTTCCAGGAAGGGACCTTGCCAACCTCAACCCTCCAGCCCCGTGCTCCACTGGCTATGGCTCAGACCAAGGGCTCCTCCTTCCCCCTCTTGCCCTATGGAACAGCCCGGGTGCTCCAAGGGGGCCAGGAGGGCATGGCTTGGCTCCCAGCAAATGGGGTGGGGGCTGGGGCACCCAGGCAAGGTGGCCCCTCCCTGCCTAGCCCCCTCTTCCCCTACCCTGCACTTAGTTTCTCCTCTGGATCAAACACGTAATAAAGAGAATGTTTGGAATCTGAGCTGCCGTCTCCTGTTCCTTCTCCCTGCCAGGCCCGGACCCAGTAACCCCCTGGGCAAGATGTGGCCTACTGCCTACCTTGCAGGACAGAACTGGTTACTGGTCTAGGTCCTGGGGGAGGCCATCACTGAGTGACCAGTTCCCTTCCACCCTCACAAAGACATGAAGACTCATACATTAAGAGGTTGCATTTATTTCTTTTTTAAAAATGTTGAAAAATAAACCCATGTCTGTGTTAAGTCCCTAACCCTCCTTAATGCAAGCTTCTTGGGGGTGGACAAAGTGGCCCCCTCACAGCTGCTCAACATTCTTCCTACCAGGTCTCTGCCACTCCCACCCCAATCCCCTCCCCACTGCACCTGACTTATTGCTAAAAGGAGGGAAAGGTGAATGAGGCCAGCTAATACCCCAACTGTCCTCTCCCCCACCCCCATGCTAAAGTCACTACCTCCACACAAGGGTAGGCCCAGAGGCCAAGCCCTTGGCAGGCAGGCAGGCAGGCAGGCAGGCAAGGAGGCAGCCATTCCAGTCACAGCCAGGAAGCAGAGTCCCTGCAGGCCCTCAGAGCTCTCGCCCCTGGCTGGGGGTTGACAAGCTCAGCTGCCAGGAACACATGCAGAACCCACAGGTCCTCCCTGCAAGACCTCAGAGCTCTAGCCCCTGGCTGGGGGTTGACAAGCTCAGCTGCCAGGAACACATGCAGAACCCACAGGTCCAAGCTGTGCCAACTGGCAGCTCTGGGTCTTTGAAAGACCTGGCAAAAGCCCTAGTCCCGTCTGTCCTTAGTGATGCTAGGGACCAGGAGCCCTTGGGCAGTGAAGGATCCAGGACTCAAATTGAGGGTGCAGGGGGCTCCAAGGGGGCGCCAACCAGGGTAGGTGGAGGCTGAGGACCAGGGCGGGCACTGTGG